CATGGACCTTTTACCAGACTAGATAAAAAATTTGATTGACGGATGTATTGACGCCATTTAGTCTGGTTAAAGACAATGTTTTCACGGTTTCTCGGCAAAATTTTGTTTGTTTTAATCGCTTCCTTTTCGAATCTTCCACTAATTTACACTTATCTTAATTGAATTATTGCATTGTGGTCTGGTAATAGACCTAGCCCCCATTCTAATAACTGTTACACCCATCATCTGCCAAATTCATTCTTGAGTTTCAATTAATTGTAGTCAAAACGGCATCGCGTGAAAACTAAAAGCGCACTTTTGTGACCCGTGGCTGCAACTAGTGGCATAGAGTGAAGCAATACAGAAAATGAGGTACTCCAGGGCAAAATGCTTTTAATTAAAACTAAAATATGTGTTTTAGTGTAGATTCTTGGGATTCTACGCCCTTTTTTTTTTTTTTACAAAAGTTAATTAATTAATTTCATTTATTATTTTTGTCATTGTTTTTTTTATGTTTACTTCACGAGAAAAATAGCATAAAGTTGAAACTATTTAGAATGAAAATGTCCTTCTCGCAGGAAAAGGCAACAAATCTGAAACAATATATAACTATGGTTTTATTACGCTTATTGTGAAAACCACAAAAAAAACATGTTTACTAATAAAAAAAAACAATTATTATTCTAAATGTGGCTGTTAAAAATGTGGCTCGGTATAATTCATTTTACTTGAAAGGAATTTTAAGATGAAAGCAACTCAATCGAAGTTATCACACCACTGCAAACACCATTATATTATTTTTTTGAAATTAGATCGCAGATTTTACTTGGGCAGCAAAATGTTTAGAATTTGGATATTTTGTTTAATTAGTCACAGGCGTCGAGGGAGGAGGGAAAGCTCCATTCAGCTTTTTAGAAGTCCCGCTCCGCCTATTTTATTTCGCTTTTTATATATTTGCGGCAAACAAAACTCCTTTCACTTTAATATTGTTTTACGGTTCTCCGTCAAGTTTTTGTTTATTTAAAGACCTTTATAAAAGCCTTTTTGACAGGTTCATTAAAAAATATATATTGCTCATTTTTAATTAGGCATTTGAGGTTTTTAAATTTTTGTTTTCAAAATGTTTTTTACTTTCAATTGGTAAGCTTTTTGTATTGGGGTATCACATAAATTACACAAATTGCCGCCGCAAAACAGTCGATCTGCAAAAATCATTTCTTAAATTTGATTTTGAATTCAGAAGCATTATCTCACAAAAACGCAGTTTTTGATTGTTGGTAACTATAAATACAACTTTAAATACAAGTTGTTTTACAGACACCAGTCTTTCCCGCACTCAGTAAAAAGAGAGGGAAAATAATCGATTATATTTTACAATTATAATTGTACTTTTATCAAAATTATAATCAACTATAAGCGCCAGATTTACATGTTTAAGCGCTTTACAATTCATTATAATGAAAACAATTTTCGTGACATTATAATAAATTATAATCAATTATAATTGATTATAACTTTTCCGAAAATCTCTTACAATCTCTTATAATCTCTCAACACCTCATAATCAATTAAAATCTATTATAATTTCTCGAAATCTTATAATCAATTATAATCTATTATATTAGATTATAATTTTTTTTTCAAAAATCTCTAGAGATGTCATTTCACTCTTGGCTTCACCTGAACACAAAGTTTTACCACGAAACAAAAGTTTAATAGAGATCCCTTTATATTAGTTGAAAGATACGTACCTTAGTTTCACGGTAGGTGAAATATAACTCTTCTATATAAATCATGAAACTAAAGCAATGTGCTAATGTGTTGCTGGTCAAAAAAATTAAAATGTGCATCATGAAACAACTATAATCAAGAAGAAATGAAAAAAACTTTATAAATTTGAACTGATTTAAAAACTGTTAAAACAATTTTTTCTATTTTTTACATAAGCCAAGGTCTACGAAAAGCATAAAATATAAGCAATACAGGTGGAAGGTCGAAGACAAAATGGGGAAACAAACGGATTATAATAAATTTTATTCGATTATAATTGGGTTTTTCTGCAAAACAAATAAGTTGGAAATTCGGACAAAATTAATCGATTATAATCATTATAATTGATTATATTTGATTTCAAAAATGAAGATTAGATTCAATTATTAAATGATGAAAATCAAATTTTTCTCAATTTTTGTAAGACTGGTACTAAAATCATATTATACTGGATTATTAACGCTTGAAACTGAATGCGGTTTGCCTTATAACCCGATTTTTCCGATGCTCAGCTAGCGGGTAGGGTTTGCTCAGGTATGGATCCTACTTCTTCATAAGTTTCTTTACTTTCCGATCAAACCGATCAGATCCTTGAACCATTCAAAAAACTTTCCCGCAAAATTTTCTCTCTGCAAAAACGAAAGAGCAACTGATGTGTAGGAAAGTGGGTTTGATTTCGTAAAAAAAAACTTAAGCATTTTGAGTTTCAGTTCATTTTTGAGATTACAGTACAGCAAGTGATGCAAAAATCGAACACCACAGGGGCAAGTCACTAGCCGAGGACTCCTCTAGTTGTTGCCCTGGACGGAATTTTTAGAATTTGAGATTTTTAGTATTTGTTTATCTTACGATGCGATTTAGCGAAGTAAATAATACGAAGCAAAGTGATTGTTTTTCTTATATGGGTCGTGGTGAATTTTGTTCGATTTTTCTCCGGAAAAAGTTCTCAGCATTTTATCAGGCTTGAGCTTGATTTTTTTTGTGGTTTGACTTTTCACTTTTTAATTCAATGAATGATAAACTTTTAAATAGTTTGTGATTGTTTCATTTAGCAAAAAATCTTAAAATTGTTTAATGCTCAAATTTGATTTTTTCTTCAATTTGATTTTCAGATTTTTTTAAGTTTGGTTCATTTTCTTTGTTAATAAACAGCAAAAGAGTAAAATAAGCAAAAAACGTGAGTGATTTCTAGTTTCACACATGGACTTTATTTTTATCACGGAAAATTCAGTTTTTTCTCTATGGGATAACTTTTTAAAAAATACCAATCGCAAACAATTCTGATTAAGAATTTTCGTTGAAGTTGACGTGTTGTTTTTTTAAGTATAAAAAAACAGTGATTTCACATATATAGTATTTTAGTCTTAAATTTACCTAACGCAGTTTGAGTTATAATTTTTGCGAAACTCAGATAGTTTTTCCTATTAAGTAGGGCTGTTTCCACTATCAAACCAAAAAACTGAAAAGGTCTCGAAAAACTTCAGTGAGTTCTCGTTTTTTCATGGACTTTAACTTCTGAATTTGCAGCGGAATAGAAAAAAAACTCATTTTTTCCGGTCTTTTCTAAATGGCCCAACTCCATGAAAAATTGCTGATCATAAACAGAATTTAAAGTTCGAAGAGCTTCAACGCGATAAAATTTAGCTTCTAAATTTTTAAGTTTAAATTTTTTCAGACTTTTTCAACAGATTTTTTCAGTTCTTTCACGCTTTTACACTTTATCAATCTTCTGTTGGCTATGCTGTGAATTTAATACAAATAAACTATATTCAAGAACAACCGGAAGCTTGCATGAAATATTTTCTCACTCTTAATGAAACTTTTTCGAGGTTAAGGTTTCTGGCTACGATGGCTTTTTTGACATTTTCAAAGTTCTTAAGTTAAAAGGATTTATGCCAATGCCGTTGACAATTTGTAACAGGCCACAATTCATAACAGGCGACAATTCGTAGTAAGTGACAATTCGTAACAGTAGATTAAGCGGGGAACACCGATTCATGCGCAGTATTCCTCTCATGCCGGATGTAAGCGTAGCGGAGTGAAGCGGAGCAAACGTATTCTATTGCCAAAGCCTTGTGACGAATTGTCTCTTGTTACGAGTATTTGTCCTACCAATTTCTGCATTCACAAGTTCTGGTAATTCAGAAGCTCTCTAAGTTTTTTATAGATTAGATTATTGAGGTTCAAAAGCTGATTGTTTTTATTTCTCGAGTCACTGACACATTTTAATAGAAATTAGCCTACTTTTGCTGACGCGTAGCAAAATTGTGATGGGTTTCAAAGGATTTAAAGTAAATTTCCTTAAAATATTCATTTTCTTGTAAAAAGATTGGTCATTAAAAAGTTCAGTATCAAGATCTATTTAACAATCTTGCCCTTCCCCCCATTGTATTGTATCTACTTAAAAATCTCCAACCCTGTAAATAAAAATAGTAAATTCGCACTAAAGCGTTGTACTGTATATAAAAACAGTAATTTCGCACTACAACAATGCATACAAATTCGAATTTTGCTGCATTTTGATTGGTCGACAATTCGCTGCAAGTAATATACTTACCAATATCCTCCTTTCTTGAAAGGGGGAGATTGTTAAGTAGATCCGTTTGGTCATTAGAATTTTTGAAAAGGGCAGCTGTAATGTACGGTGATTTTAACTTTCATTCTACAAAAAAGATTTTTAAAATGGAAATAAGGTAATTATTCTGCGGATTATGTTTTCAAAGATAAGTTTTTGAGATCGAGCGATACGTCTTTCTTCCCAAATAGAAAATTCATTGCATTGTCACCTTCATTAAATAAAAAAATTCAATTAGTTCAAGAAAACTATTATCCACCGCAAAAATCCGTGTAGGTTTAAGGGGATACTGATATATCAAAAGCTGATTGGGATGCTGATATTTGTGTCAGCGGTTATTGTTCCGACAACTCTCGATAGAAAGGCAAAGAGCTATGAATTTGGTCTGGATTTTGGTATCGCGAAAAAATTCTTAAGAGGTTATTTGGCATCACATTATCGTTCTTTTTGATTACCACAACTTTCGCTCAAAATGTGTTTTAAAAACTTGTACAAAAAATTCTTGAAAAAAAATTACTGTTGTCTTTTTAGTAAGTGCGAAGAGATCAAAATTATTGATAAGCTATCAAAAAATAAGATTAATGTTTGCTAAATAAAGTAAAAAATACAGAAGAAAGTTTTTGATTGTCGAGTATTTGCCGATTGCATTCAACAGTGGTGGTGCTCGTTGTTTTAGTTTGAGGAGTACCAGGGGGCGATTGCGATCGGGGACTGGAGTGGGTTGTTGAGTGAGGCTGACGGACTTCTGGCAGACCTCCTAGTCGACCACAGTCCCCAGTCAGTGCAGTCCAGAGTCAGGGCAGCCAGAAGGTCAGCTAGAATAACACCTACAATATTCTAGATCTTTCTAGAACGATTTTTCTATTAGCAGACTAATAGAAGGCCAAACATCATAAGAATAGAACAAGGGCTCTCGCGAGAAATCAGTGAGCAAAGACGAGGTTTTTTCTCAATCAAAGTTTTAATGAATTTGCATTAACAAGCTTGATTTCAAGCTTAAACAAGCTTGATTTTAAGCTTTTGTTTTTCAGATTTTTGGATACTGAATTCTGACTGTCTTTCATACCTGGGTTGGTTATCTGAAAATTACTATTAAAGTTACATAAAATTCCACGCATGGTGTCTGGGAAAAAAGTGAAAATCAAAAAAATGCTTTCAACTTTTGTTTTTGTTTAAAGCTCAATTCAATTCCTTTGTTAAATGGAAGGCAAACTTCGCCATCAAACAGCAAAAGTCTACAGACCACAAAAAAACGTGATCGACTTCTAGCTTTAAATGCGGAATTTAGTTTTCAGATTTCCCAGAATTTATCTATTATTGATCCTGTTTTCTCCAATTGAGTTAGTTTTATCAAAAAGTGTCAGTCATTAATTTCTTTGTTTACTTGCGTTTAATGATTTTTTTTTTCCAAAACTTGTCCGTTTTAAATTCGTTTTTGTAGCGAAATCACTTCTATGCTCAAATAATGCTCCCAAAAAATGCATGAAAAAAGGAAAAATTTTGTCTGTTGCGTATTGTTTTGTGCAATCAAAATTTTTCAGACGATAAATTTCCCGTGACAAAATTAGGTGAACCTAGCTGTTTCAACTTTGTTTTTATATAGTAAAATAGGGCCATACTACTAAAAATCAGGCCACAATTTTTAAATACTAATTTTTTCAAAGCAAACCCGGATTGAATTTGCTGAGCTAATCAGTCCTGTTTCAATATTATAACAGCAAAATTTCATATTGCGGCGTCTGTAGCTTAGATCCAACTTAAAAAACTTAATTTTGTCTTATGGCGCTCTCTCAAATGATGTTTTTGTATAGAAAAGTTCTTCATTTGTATTTCTGTACAGTGTTGAATTTTTGAAGTGCTTGAATTTTTGGTGAACCGTAATGACAAGAAAAGGATTGCAATCGCTTTTATACAGATAATATAGCAAAAAAAACATAGTTTGAAATGAAAAATTCTTAAACGTCAATTTCAATGGGTTGAAAATAATACTGATAAAACAGATTACGTAGAAAATTATATTCAAGATAACCAACAATAAATAAAATTGGAAATAAAATTGGCACGTATACTTTACAATTCGACTTCATGTTGATGTTTGACTTCAAAAACTATAAATATAAAGTTATTGGTAATTTTTGTGCACCAAAACTTTTTTTTGTGATTTGGTTTTTCAGTTATATGTCATTTGACTGGCAAAATTGTGCCAATAACTTTGACAAAATCTTTGCATGTTTCTTCTTTTCTTTACAGCGGGCACCCTAAGATTTGCAAAATTTTAGAGAAAAGCCCTTAAACTCAATAGTTTGCGGTAAAAAAACTTCTCTGAGCTGGCTCTTGCTCTCTAGTTTTGAGGGAGATTTTCGAAAAATTCTCGAAAGTCTCGAAAGAAAACGAAAAAATAAATAAATGAATAAATAGTTTTGCTAATTTTTGTTAAGATTTTGATGGACTTCATTTAAAATCAATATAAATAGTTTTTAGGCAGTATAATCTATTCCCCCCCCCCCAAATTTCCTTAAATCCATTCTGGTAGAATTACGCATCTAATGGACTGCACATCAAATCGAATTACGCATCTAAATGGACTACCGTTTATCAAATTTTACTTAGTGTTTTATATATATGCAAAACGATTTAAATCAATTTCAATCTCAAGTTTGTCAGTGCGGGGAGGAAGAGAAAAGCTTTGTCATCAATTGTTCAGCGTAAAATCAGAAAAAAACTTCCGAATTTTTGTTGTTTTCTTGCATGTACAACCTGAGATGTAATTCTGCGCTTCTGTAAGCTCTGTCATATAGTTAACACGGTTACCAAAAAGGTTAGGTGTAACTTGTCTAGGGTAACGACTGTGATTTGAGATTTGAGAGCGGTAATTACACGGTTATCGTATGGGTAGGAAGCTAATTTTTGCGCAATTGAACAACAAGATTCTCTTTCCTTAAAAAAAAACAGATGTATCGAAATCCAAAAGCAGCAATGTTAAAAAAATTCTGCCATCAGAATTTTCTGCCAAGAAACTAGATAACAGCAATAAAATTATGTTTGCGTGTTGCTTAAATCGCGCATTATAGATGAGAGAAATCTATGATATATACTCAAAGCAAAGTAATTTGAGACGCCTTGCAAATCTCTGATTTAGTATCTAATTGATTTGTCCAAAAACAACACTTCAAAGATTTCATCGCAGAAGAGTCAATAAAAACTAAATGTGTGAACCATCGGCTAAAACTGATGTCATAAAATTTTTGTATCAAGAGTGTAATTAAGAAACTTATTATATCAGCTTATTCCGTGTGTGTGTAGATTCTTACAAACAGGTATATATTTTTAACAAAACTTTTTAAATAACGTTTTTAACTGACATTGAACGAAATTGACAGTGAAGACATTTATTTAGGTCGTGGTTTTTTCTTTTGTCAGGCAAAGACGAAAAAATTAATAACGCTCAAATTTGATTTTTTGTGTACTTTGGTTTCTTTTTCAAGTTCAGTTCAAATTTGTTTGCCATGTTTAGGTTGATCCAAGCAAGCGGACAAGCTCAGATGGCCCAGCAGCATGCCATGGCAGTAGCTGCAGGACTAATCCCCCACCCGCAGAGGAGGAAAAGCACTATCGGGTCCCACTTCCATACCTCAGGGGGCAAACAGATCTGTGACGAGGAGGGCAATCCAACGGCAGAACACGCGAGGTTCTTCCACCCCGAAAGCAGCTACGATCATAACATGGTCAGTTTGAGTTTGCTCTCATCCATGCATAGTACATTATGATAGTTGTAGCCCGGGGAAAAAATGAAAAGTGGATTCCATACCGAGGGTTTTTGAAAACCTGATTGATAGATAATTAATCACTATGAGGCCGTGGCTCCCGTGATTTTTCTGAAAATTTTAAGGCACGTAAAACCTTCTTCAGAGACCCTTATTAATTTTAGGGACCCAACTATCATATTTATAACGGGCTTATTTTAACGGTAATGCACCGCTCAGATCTACGTAAGACCTAAAGACTTCCTCTTTATCACAGTTATGGTGCTTAGTTACCCGACCTGCAAAACTTGAGATTGAATTGTTTAAATTGATTTTTATAAAGATAATATATTTTATTAAATCTATTCATGGTAGACCATTTAGTTATGTGCATCTAAATACTGCCTCCTTACTACAGTTAAGCGAAGTTCAACTTACCGGATCCCGGAATCTCACCGTTTTTTTTTAATATCAGAAGACTCCCCGAAGCCCTCTGAGTTTGAACCTGCCAAAATATTTGGTGAAAACTAAAGTTTAGGCAATGGACCCATAAGATTTTTTTATAGAAATTTTCACGCCTTCAAACTGCAATAAATTTCATTTGAAATACCGTTGATTTCTTGAAACGTGAAAATCTGCATGATCGTGATTGAATTTAGTCAGTGGCATGTGAACAACTAAAACACGCATTGAAAGAGTAGTTATGAATTTTTATTCTATTCGAAGAATTACATCGTTCTTGAATTTTAACATTTTAAATAAGTATTGAAACAAATACACAAAAGCGCAACTACAAGAACGCACGCAAGCACGCGCAAACGGGTTCCAGGCAGAAGTAAACGCGCGTGTATGTATAGACGTGCAGACTTGCGTGCGTTCAAGTAGTTACGCTTTTATGTATCTGTTTCGATTACTTATTTAAAATTTTATAATTCAACAATGATGTAGTTTGTCGAATAGAACGAAAAGTCCACAACTTCAGTAGTGATCCTGCGTCAAAAGCAGCCTTTGTCGAGCCTATCAGTCAAAAAACTGTCTGATGACAAGTTATGTGGTCGTGTTATGTGCCGTGAGCGATGTGCACTGTTTGGTATTGAAGCGTTTTTAAAACTTTGCGCAGATCTGAAATAACGTTAAAATAAGAATAAATTTTTTGTTGATATTTTTCACATTTCTTAAAGTCAGATTTGGAATCTGCACTAAAAAAGCATTCAAAAAATGTATGATTTCTTGTTCAAAGTCGGAATCCGGTAAGTTGAAGTTCGCCCCACAGTTATGGGGCTTAGTTACACGACCTGCCAAACTTGAGATTGAAATCGTTTTGTATAGATTTTTATTAAAAATAATATTTTCTATAAAATTGAATCACGGTGGACTATTAGATACGTGCGTGAATCTAAATACTTCTTCTTCACCACTGTTATGGGGCTTAGTTACCCGCACTGACAAAATTGATTTTGAAATCAGTTTGAAACAATTTTTATGCAGATAATATAGCGCAAGAAAACCTATTTTTACGGTGAACATTCAGATTTGCAAATTAACATAGAAAATATTAGAACGGATTTGGACGGTAAAAAAGACTTTATTGTCTAGAAATGGGTTTTCAAATGGGTTTTCACAAGTGAAATCTTCATCAGAGCTACAGAGAGCAACTGTCACTCAATGAGTTTTTTTTACAGTAAATTTTTGAAAGAACGGACTTCCATTCAAATTCTACAAATGTTAGGTTTCCTGCCGTTATGAAAAGAAGAATCATGCAAAAGTTTTGCAAACAAAAATTGACAAACAAAAAGTGACAAACAAAAGTTTTTCAACATTTCTTAGAAACTATTTTTATTATCAACGTTCTAGGCCCAATTTTGCGAAGCAAAGGAACATATAGTTGAAGAAATCAGTTAATGATTCATTTTTGACGCTCATAGATTCTCTGCACGCCAAACATCAACAAAAAAAATTAATCAAAAAAGATACCTTTTTAGGTTATTTCCAATTTTCTTTATTTTTTGATAGCCGAGAAAGTTTCAATATAGTCTATATAAAATCAATTAGACTCTGTACCATCTCGGATGAGCATCAGTTTTGCGGTGTAACGAAGGGAGAGGGAAAAGGGAAAGGAAAAAATCATCAATCGAAAAACTAGATAAAAACCATTTTAAACTGATTAAATTCATTTCATGTAATTTCGGGTAATTTTTACTTAAATATATCTTTTTTGACATGCACAAATTCGAAATCAAAATGTTATAACCAAAATTTAAGGGCGATTCATTCATGCGGGATGGACCGAATGCGCAAAAGAGAGGTCAGCTAAACAGAATTCTTAATCCATGTATTTGCAAGAAATAGACATTAAAATCGGTCAGTTTTAACAGTTTAAAGGGCATTTATTGCATGACAGTTTCCGAGATTTAGTCCTTTGCTGATGGAAAATTAAGAATCAAAAAATAAGTTAGACTGTAAGCGCTTTAAACAGGTTTAAGCAGCTTTGTCAAATGAAGATTAATTTCAGAACTTTTACAGGAAAAACAAAAATACAGGAGTCTGGAAAAATATTTGTTCATGGTCTTTATTCTTTTGTTTTTATTCCTTTGGCTCTTTTCATGTTTTCTAAATATGTTTGAAATTTTTCAGAGAGTGTTGAGGTATTTTTTCGAGCCATTTCTCAAATTTCATCATTTTTTCATCAACCTACGACTAATTTTTTTTAAACTATTTTTTATCAACCTACACAGTCCCAGGTTGAAATTGCACGGATCCTTGTCTAGAGAACAAATTTAAGTTGAAATTGCACGGACCCTTGTGAATGAAAAGTGCTTTAGTTGTTCTTGTTTAAGGATGTTTCATGTTTCTTGCTTCTTGTTACTGTTTTTCTTTCCCGAGAAATTGATCAATTTACTTGTGCTTGAGGTGATACTTTCTCTTGACGAATTTTGTTGTTATAACTAGTCATTTTGGAATCGAGTGTTTTTAGCAATCATAAAGATATTATTTGCAAAAAATATATATATTGAGCTCTGAGCGTTTTGAAATGTCCGTTTGTTGGGTATGAAGTAAAAGAAAAAATGAAGAACTGATTTTGAGAAGTTGTCTGTTATTAGCCGAAATAAAGCTTATACGTTAAAGGTAGTCGGACACATCAGAGTTCTTGTTATGATATGAGCAATTATGTCTATCTTTGGGAGAAAGTAATTTTGTATCATAACCAAAAGATGTGCTATAATTTTAAGAGAACGTTTTGAGCAACATTTAATTTCGGACATAATCTCGGTCAACGTGAATAATCAATTTTAGAATTAATTGCAGTTTTTGTCATGCAGATAATGATTGCATGCCGCATTGCTTATGGTTAGCTCAGCTCGACTTTGAGAATATTTCATATTTTCTTCATCAGTTGGTCGTACAAACGTAAAGCCGGGTTTCAAGTACTTCTCAATTTCAACAACCAAAATGAATGTCTTCTGTAATTTGTTTTTTTTTTTGTAACTGTCAGTGAACGTAGTGAACGTCGTGATATGTTTATCAATTTTTTAAATCTTTTTTTAAAATTTGATCTCGCAAAGTTTGACTTTTTGCTGTTTGATTTTTTGAAGCTTTTTAAATTCATTTCAATTTAATTTGCTAAAAGAAGGGCAAATTTACTCTACAATTAAGAAGGCGGAAAGAGAACCAAATGAATGATTAAAACTGGATTTAAGTTCAAAACTCAACATTAGTTTTAATATTTTCCAACGGAATGAAAAAATAGCTTTTGATAGCTTTTGAAATTGGGCTAACTCTAGAAAAAAATCTAATCGTCAAATTTTTTTTCAGGTTTAGTTGAGTTCATTTACACTTTTTTAACTGTTTGTTGGATATGTTTTGCTGAGCAGTTTTAATCGTTCCCTAGATAATATTCCGTTTTTGCTGCTGACTTTCATTAGACATTATTGAGCTTATCGAAAACAAAACTGATCTTCGTTGTAGGTTTTTATGCTGAGTAACACTATGATAACAGTGGTGGTTTCTTCTACGTCTTTTGTTTCTTCCATTTCCTTAAAAAAACATAATTTTTAAACTCATTATTCGAGCAAGTACACCTAACTATACGGGTAAAAAAAATCAAGGGCGAAATTAGACGAAAACCAATATGGTGAAACTAGACAAAAAACCCAACACTGAAACCGAGAAATTAGACGAACAATCTCTTTTCCCAAAACACATCAAGTAGGCAGCCAATTTAAAAAAAATTCAATTTAAAAGCAGATTATTTGAGAAATCCCGGAAATGTGTTGCAAAAAGTTTCAAGCAAGCTCGCAAAATTTCAAGCAAGACAGTATTGAGCTTATCGAAAACAATACTGATCTTCGTTGTAGATTTTTATGCTGAGTGACAATATGATAACAGTGGTTGTCTCTTCTACATCTTTTGTTTCTTCCATTTTCTAAAAAAATCATTAGTTTTTTCTCATTATTCGGGCAAGTACAACTATACGGTGAAGAAAAAAACAAGAACGAAATTAGACGAAAACCAATATGGTGAAACTATACAAAAAACCCAACACTGAAACCGAGAAATTAGGCGAACAATCTCTTTTCCCAACATACATCAAGTAGGCAGACAATTTAAAAAAATTTCAATTTAAAAGCAGATTATTTAAAAAATCCCAGAAATGTGTTGCAAAAAATTTCAAGCAAGCAAGCAAAATCAGCTTACTTGAAGCAAAAATGTCAAAACTTTACTTAATTCTTGTTTTGTTTTATTAAAAATTGCAAGTTAGCACATTGTAACGAAATGCAAAATTGCGTTTTCAGCTTTTATCATTTACCTCAGGCGGTAAAAAACAAGCGAATTGCTGTCTCTGTTGTGTTCTGAGGGAATTGCGAAGTCCTAAAAAACGGTCAACAAAATTTTGGCTGTATTTGAAAATTTGTTTCCACCGTGGCATAAAAAAGAGAAGTGCATTTCTCGAAAAGCCAAAAGGTTTGTTTATATTAAAGAAC